CCATCCATCCAGCCATCCATTCTTTACCCATCCATCCATCCATCCATCCATCCATCCATCCATCCATCCATCCATCTATCATCCATTCTTATTCACTCATCCATCCATCCATCCATCCATCCATCCATCCATCCATCCATCCATCTATCATCCATTCTTATTCACTCATCCATCCATCCATCCATCCATCCATCCATCCATCCATCCATCCATCTATCATCCATTCTTATTCACTCATCCATCCATCCATCCATCCATCCATCCATCCATCTATCATCCATTCTTTATTCACTCATCCATCCATCCATCCATCCATCCATCCATCCATCCATCCGTCATCCATTCTTTATTCACTCATCCATCTATCCGTTCATCCATTCATCCATCCATCCATCCAYCCATTAACMTAACCACTTCCTCCTCCATCTATCTGTAATAATAAAATCAAACATCATTCTAATCTCTGTATAAAGTTGTAAATTAGAAACAGTTTTGTGTCGTTCATCTCTGAGTATAAACCACCTCACAGTCGTCTGTCACCTCTCTCCCACTTCAGTAAWATCACTGGCTTTACATATTTTCACMTTTGAATCAATATTAGAYTCCACCCCTCCTTCTCTSRCCAGCTTCCTTATTTATTCTTAGTCTTGTTATTTTTCCATATTGATTTTTGTACAAGTAGTTCTCTCACAAATCACTCCTTGAGCTATAAATGTTTTCAAAATTCAGCTGCTTGCATAACGGCCAAACCCCGCTCATTCCATCACATCACCCCAGTCCTACCTAGCCCTTCATATCACATCACTACTCCCTTCCCACTCCTTCAGTTTTTCCTTGCCTCAGCACCATGGCAAACCAAGCTTTCTCTCCACTCTGCTCCCTGACTCTGGATCTTTTTTTCTTTAGACATCTGCAAAGTTGACTCTCTTCCTCCCTTCAAAGCAAGACCGACTCATGTTCCAAGCTGACAWAAAAGTTAACAACATGGACCAAGCTGAAAAAAGGTGTTCGATAGCTCGTTTTGGACTTTCAGAGCTGAAACACCATCTGTCTTTTCACACCAACAGTCCCACTTTTGAATCTGTTGACTGGTGGTGTGAGAAAAGACAAAAAGAGCTGTTAGAAGTGTTAAATAATGAACATTATGTGGGGGAGCATTCTTTATAAATTCTATTTATGATGCAGTGGTGTGATGGTATCTTCAATTGATCAGGTACGTCGCCAAAAGTCTGGCGTTCCTTGATTAAATGCATATCACCCCCCACCTTACATGCTAAGGTTTTTGACTTAGACTTACTTAGACCCTATCAATGTTCTCCTCAGGCAGAAGAGTTCTTGTACCTGTATGTCTTGTTCCTGAGTAATGTTAGGATGCAGCAGAAGATGGATCAACAGATAATGTCCTTACACCCAGTAACGAGGATAATAGCCCTTTAAGACTGTAAGATGAAAAGGGCACTAAAAATAAAATGTATTATTATTATAATGAGGGCATCACTTCAGTCAGTCGTTGTGAGTAAAGAATTAAGTCTAAATGTCCTGATGGTAGAAAAATAAAAAAATGTTAAGTAGGTCCTCTGGACAGGTTCTTCTTTAATGAAACGTTTCATCTCTCCTCCAGGAGACTTCTTCAGTCTGAGGAGTTTCAGGTGAACTCAGCCTTATAAGCACTGCCTCCACATGGTGGACAAAGAGGTTTAACGATGACCATCAAAGCTGTTCACATGCAAAGAAGACCCTCAGCCTGACGATTGTTAGTGCCCTGAGCATCCCTATTGTTCAAAGAGGACTATCAGTGCCATCRGCCTTATGATAGTTAGGGCCCTGGTCAGTGAAGGCTGGTATAATTGGGCTAGTAGGGCTAAGCCCTCCCAGGTGCAGGGCTAACTATTCACAGCYCATTTTCATGTAATGTGTGTCCTGGTTCAGAATGATTGACAGGCATCTCGCCACACCCCCTCGGTTTGCGGCTCATTGGGGCTAATTCTGTTCAGCCCAGGATCAGCCCAAAGCCACAGGATTCTGCCACTTAGGGTGGACGTACAAAAACGTGCCTCCAGTGTGAGTGTATGTGGGCGTGGTTGAGTAGATACGATGCGAGCAGCATTAACATGTCAAGAAATGGAGGCGCTAAACAACTTAGCTAAGTTTCTTAAA